TTTACATGGAATAGCATAAATTACAGCTCTGAAACAGCATGAAATATGGTCCCGAAACATGCAAATATGGCAAACAATCCAAGCTAGGGGGCCTGGGTACCGAAACTAGTGAAGTGTGTTACACTAGAGGTACCCAAAGCAATGCACCAAAGGAAAAACCAACCCCAAACAGACCCTAGGCAGGTCTGAAACAGTGGGGAAATGACCTAAAATGATAGCTCGGAATGCAACGGAATGGAGCTCATTCAATGGTCGGTAAATGAGGCATACAAGCCCGACTCTCAAACGCATTTAAAGAGATAAAAACATGGCAACATGACATTCGTATAAGCTCTGAAATTTGATGAAAAATGACCCCAAGGCATGAAAATACCTCAGTATATGCATGGAATGGATCTCAAAACTCAAAGCTAAGCATGGACCTTGAATTACAAGCATGCAAAACTAACATCATTCAACCACAAGACCCAAAAACAGAGCCAGGGCAGTCCAAAATAAGCACATTATCAGTTTAAGGCATAGCCAAAATATGCTAGAATCAATTGCCTATAAAGCATGCAAAGAAAGCTAGTGAACCATGAGTTGTTCTACAACTATATGAAGCATATGAGGGCTCACCCAACCAGCCAAAAACAGAAGTATTTCATGCCAAAATATGCCCAAATAACCACTGAAACTTAATCAACACATGCAAGAATGATGAGCCCCTTTGGAAAGCCACGCGAGGGGTTGTTCTACACATACATGATAGACAGACAAAAGGGAAAAACCACATCTGGAAATAAGTTATGATATCCCTAAAACTCACCAAAAAGGCCCTGAAATTAGTCTAGGAAGCATGCAATGAAAGGCCCCTTTGAAAGGCCTTGAATGGGATTGTTCAACACATGCATCATAGACATAAAATATGGCCAAAGGGGCTCCAGACAGAGCTAAGGCAGACCTCAAAACTCACATAATAGGGCCTGAAACAAGACTTCAAAGCATGCAAGATGGGGCCCTTTAGAAGGCCAAAAGGGCCAACAAACAAGACAAGGAGAGAGGGGGTCACCCCCCTCTGATTTTGGAGCCCAAAAACACATATTGGCCACTAAAATCCAGTGGCCAAAAGGCCAAACCAAGGCCAATGCAAATGCTTTAATGCATAGCCTTAAATATAAGGAAATGGAGCATACAAGGGGGAAGATGACCCCAAACAGAAAAAAGTTCTTAAACAAACATGTTTAGAAGATCAAAACAAGACTTTTTTCAGTTTATGTCGAAGTCCAAAAATGCTTGAAAATAGGGCTAAAGAATGGAGCAAAATAATGTCAAAAATGGAGAAATAGAGACTCACCCTTGTAGCACAGCAATGCAGCAACTTCTGGACCAAGAAAGTGAGCTCTCAACCTCTGAAAATCAGTCCCAAGGTGGTTGAATAGATGGTGGAGGTGGTAGGCTAGGAGGTGTAGTGTAAATGGTGCAAGAACAAAGGGGTTTTGGAGTTTGGAAGAGAGAGCTATGGAGGGAAGTGTATGTATGATCTAACCAAAGGGTTCAACCCTAGCAATGGAAGAGAGCCCTTTCCTTATAGAGGAGAAGGTCTAAAGCTTCTCCAAGAAGCTTCAAAGCTAACTTAAACATCCTCCATACACGTGTATGGAGGATGCATTCTGAGGACTTAATGAGACAAAAAAGGAGAAAGCTGGCCGGCCAGTTCAGGTGGCCGGTCGACCACTTGCCTTGGTCGGCCGACCAGGTCAAAAGGTTCAGGTGGTCGGCCAGCCACTTTTTGTGGTCGGCCAGCCAGGTCAAAAAAGTCACTTTCAAAAAGGTGGTCGGCCTACCCATATTGCTAGCCTCCTAGATGAGCACAACACAATGGTAGTATGAAAAGCCAGAAATTGTGGCTCAAAAGTGAGAAAAATCAGCTTTCTGTCAGAAAAATCGATTTTAGGAGAGAGAAAAAGAGAAAACTGGTTTCCAAGGAGAAAAGGTGGCCTCCCACCATATTACCACCTCCCTAACAATGAAAATAGGGTCCCTACCAAAAATGGACCAAGACGGATGCAAAACGAGGGTTCGGGGGCCAAAAAGCGTAGTCCGAGGCTCCGAAAACAGGCTGTTAGGCACCGGAAGTGGTGTATGACCACGAAGGTGGTCTCCCGGGCCACAGTGTCCCTCTAAAGGGAGGAAACAAGGTGTGTACCAAAAATCGGAGCAAACAGAGGTAGTTAAGCGGTCTCGAATCGAGGCACATGGCCGGCGGCTTTGAAAATCGAAAACCGAAAACTGGTCTCCAAACGGGAAAAATGGCCTACGGCCACGAAACGTAGCCTACGGCCACTGAGAGATGGTCTACGAGACCTTTCCCTCCCTTCGGGAAGAGAAAACAGAGAAAACAAGACCTGGTTCGCAAACCTAGGCAAAGCACAAAAGAGCCCCAAAGTCCGGAGGCAAGGCTCGCAGCCGAGACTCTGAAACCTCAGAACGAGCACAATATGCATCATCACCGAGCGCTCAATCGGTGACATCTAAGTCTTAAGGTAGGTCAAAAATGGGGTGTCTACACTGGCAAGGGTTGGTCTCCGACAGGGAAGCACCGGAATAGGATTCGAGAGAGAGAGAGAGAGACGTGTGTTCAAATTTTGAAATTAGATAGAGATGAGAAGGATGTGGGTAAGGGAGAGAAGGAGGGGGTGATTACATTTTGGATTGAATTTTCAGCCTTTGGATTGAATCAATTTAATGGTCTATATTTTAATAAAGGGACAAAAGACAAATAAGAGTGAGACATTTTTAACCATTGGATTGAATCAATTTAATGGTGCATATCTTGACACATAGACAAAAGTTCCATCAAGATTCAAAAACCATTCTCCCTTATTATAAGAAGATTGATCACTTTTATATTTATGTTTTACTAGTGGTGGACATGGGTCGGATTGAACTGGAGTTAAAATGCTTAGCCTCTGTTTGGGAAGTGGGTTGACTTTTTGACTTTTTTGGCTATTTTAGTCTGGGCTAAAAAGCTTGGTTTGGGAAGGACTTTTTGACTTTTTGACTTTTTTGACTTTTTTTGTGAGAGAATAGTGTAATGATTATGAGTTGGATGTAATGTTTTGTTTATTATGGCAAAAATAGCATATTTTGTCTTTTGTGGCTATTTTAGCTACAAACCAACTTGCCAAACAACACCTGTTGTTTGGGAAATGGGTTGACTTTTTGACTTTTTTTTTTGAGGACTTTTTGATTTTTTTGACTTTTTTTGTGAGAGAAAAGTGTAATGATTATGGGTTAGATATGATATTTTGTTTGTTGTGACTAAAATAGTCTATTTTGTCTATCTCAAGTTTGGCCCATGGTCAAACTTATATTTTATTTTTAAATCCATCAAAAATCAAAGTACAAAAATCTCAAGGCTATCCATATAACTAAGATATTATTTAATATAAATAAATAAATATTTTTTCATATTTTAAAATTTTAAAAAATATATTTGTTTAATAATTTGTGCATCTCTTTAACCTATTCAGGGTAGGAGTTCAAATTTTCCAACCAATTCTTTTACCGGACTAGTATTACATGTGGGTTCGTTTGGAAAGAAAAAGTCCGGGGTTTTTTTAGTTACTTTAGCCACAAATAAAATAGATTTTTTAGCCTAATAAGGCAAAACATTACATCCAACTTATAATCATTATATTTTTCTTTTACAAAAGTCAAAAAAGTCATCCCAAAAGAAACATTTTAACCCTAAATTAAAATAGTCAAAAAATTAAAAAGTCAATCAACATCCCAAACGAACCTATAGTATATGTTTATAAGAAAATAAAGTTAAACAATGTAAAGCATACACATAAAATTTATAAAAATATATAGCATAATATTGTTTTTTATTATTTTTTTGGACATTAATTGATTCTATAATAATGACCACTGAAAATTAATAAAAAAAAAACCCCTTATTATATGAGCACCTAAAATTATGGATAAATTACACTTTAAATTCTTTTAATTTGGTTCAAATTTATTATAGTTCATATTATTTTAATTTGATCAATTTGATCTCAACACTTTAAGCCTAATTTTAATTTAATAAGAAATTAGTTTTTTTTCTACATGTACATGTTAAGAGATTTACAAGTGTTTTAGAATTATTAATTTTAACTTTTAATATGAAAAAAATCAAATTAAAAATAGATTTAAAGTATAAAAATTAAATTGTTCAATTTAAAAAACATAAAATAAAGTCAAAATTTAGATTAAATTATAAAGATTGAAAATATGGTTTACTATTTTTTTAAAGATTAATTAATTAATTTTTTTGGAATGAGTCATGGCGACACATTGATGTGACACAATACTTGGCGGTCACTATTAACCTACCGTAGAAGCTCTGTTTGGATAACAGCATTATTAATGCACTCCACTTGCCCAAATGCTAGTTCCAAAACTGTCACCATCATTTTTTTCACATTTCAACATAACCGTTAACTCACAACCGTTGATCCGATTAAAAGACCCCCACAAACACCACAACGCATCATCACATCTAGAGGTCCACAAAACCGACGGCCTAGATTCCATCAGTCACCACGATCTCACCGTCAATCCCGTCACTCTAGCACTTCGCAATCCGATCCGTCTTTGCTTTTCTGACCCACCTGGCGTATTTGCGCAAACAAACACAATTATTCTTTAATTTTATAATTAATTAATGAAAATATGTTTGTTTGTTTGTGTTTTTTGGATTTGATTTTGATTTGGATTGGTTTGGTTTTTTTTGTCTCATCAATTTGCGAGCATTCGGATCCGAACGGCACATTAAAAATGATGACCTGGACACCAAAAAAAAAAAAAAAAAAAAAAAAAAAAAACGATAATCCGTATTTATTGATCTCTCAATACCAAAAAGTTGCCTTCTCTCTCACTGTCTCTCCCCCTCTTTTTTCTCTCTCTACATGTCAATGGCGAATTCCATCTCTTTAGTATTGCTTTCTCAACGTCCTTTCAGATTTTTTCACTCTTTCTGTTTGTGTGTGTATTTGTTATCTATATTTATTTGCACGGTATGCCAAAACCCTAATCGTTCCAATTATGCAACGTGTGATGATGATTTGTTTGTTTCTTTTTTTGGATCTGATCTGCTTTTGTGATCTGAATGTTTTTTTATTTTTTGATTCTCACTCTGCAGGATCGGGATTGAAAGCTAGTTTTGAGAGTCGGCATTTTACTAGGGAAGTAATTCGATATTGGGTATTGTTTGGAGTTATTGTTTTATTTCTAGATTGTTTAGATTTGTCTGGAATCGAAGGATTGGGTGCTTGATTCATAATTAGGAGTTGAATTGGGCAATTTGTCTTCTGAATTCTGTGTTCTTGTTATACAAGATTCTCTAGATTAGATTATCAAACCAAGCCAAGCCTTAAGTCCCATAAAAGAGGTGTTGCTTCAATGCTGGTAGGAGTTTCTGGAAATGTTGATTATAGGATATTGGACATTTCATGTTATGACAGGCTATGATTTTCATATTTCTTGGAGATTTAGGTTAGAACAATAGTGTTTTTTCTGTTACTGGGTTTTTTTAGATTGAAGAATTTGGACATGAGAAGCCCTTGGTATAGTAAATTATCCCTGTTATTGGGCCCCCGGTTGCCGCACAACTGGTTACTCTTGTGTCTCATCAGTGTCCTTGTAGTAATTGTGTTATTAGGATCGTCTTCTTCTAGTGCCTTTGACTCTGTAACTTCCACGGCGAGGTCCGATGTCTATTCAAATTACAGAAGATTAAAGGAGAAAGCATTAAGTGATTACTTGGAGTTGAAGTCTTTCTCTTTAGGAGCTACTCGTCAAAGGGAGTTTAGTTTGTGTGGAAAAGAAAAAGAGAATTATGTACCTTGCTATAATGTGTCTGCGAATTTGTTAGCTGGGTTTAAGGATGGGGAGGAGTTTGATAGGCATTGTGAAGTGTCTCGAGAACAACAGAGTTGTTTGGTTCGGCCCCCTAAGGACTACAAGATCCCCCTGAGGTGGCCGGCTGGTGAGGATGTGATTTGGAGTGGAAATGTGAAGATTAGCAAAGACCAATTTCTCTCTTCCGGAAGCATGACGAAAAGGTAATTCTTATTGATCCAAGCTAATTGTCATGTTGGTTGCAAATATAATTGAAGCCTCTGTGATTAAAACTTGTACCCACAAACTATTGGTCGTCTCGTTCCCTTTTCAGCTAATAATGACATCTTATTTGGAAATTCTCCATTTTTGTATTTATCTTAACAAACTGTAGGCTAATGCTACTAGAAGAGAATCAAATTGCTTTTCACTCTGAGGATGGATTGATCAATGACGGAGTCAAAGATTACTCTCGCCAAATAGCAGAGATGATAGGTTTAGGAAGTGACTCTGAATTTCTTCAAGCTGGTGTAAGTATATGCTTGAATAAGCAAAGTACAATCTTTTGCATTTCCTTATCTCTAGCTCTCTCCGCAAAAAAAGAAAATTCAACAATGCTTTTGAAGCATTTACTTCTATTATTTATTTTTCTTATTTGTTTCAATTTCAGGTGCGCACTGTATTAGATATTGGTTGTGGGTTTGGTAGCTTTGGGGCTCATTTGCTGTCACTCAAGTTAATGGCTGTTTGTATTGCGGCCTATGAGGTAACAGGTAGCCAAGTTCAGTTAGCCCTTGAGAGAGGTCTTCCGGCAATCATTGGCAACTTCATTTCAAGACAGCTTCCATACCCATCATTGTCATTTGATATGGTTCACTGTGCTCAATGTGGCATTTCATGGGACAAAAAAGGTATTATTTGATTTGATGGCCAAACTTTTTTTGCTACTGTTATGACTAATCTCATGCCTGGATCTTTTGGATGCTTCAGATATTAAAGTGGTCGAACTGTTTCTTTATTGATTGTTGAACAAATATATCTATTTGTTGTTTGATAAATATAGTACTCACTTACTGTCTCTTCATTAAAGCAGTTTTTTGAATTAGTGTCTCCTTTTTTTTTCTCCTGATGAATCCTTAAAAATGGTCCTGATGATATAAGTTCACTGTAGTAGGCTAGTAGCTGATTGTCATGGGAGGCACACATTTATTTATTGCTGTATTTATTAGATTTTGGTTTTTTTTCTCTTTGATCTCCATTTATTTCCTTCTTTCTACTTCTTGATATCTTGTGACAAGAAAGACATATACATCCTTTCAGATTTTTTTAATGTAGTTTCAAACAATAATTACTTCTTATTGTTAGTCTTAGAGCAGAAAATTGTCTTGATGGCCTTGAACTTAGTGCAGCTAATGTGATCTTAAATGGCTAGCAATGTACTCAAGTGGTGAGAGTTGCTATTACCTTTGAATAAGTCAATTATGCTTATATAATGTCCTATTCATGAAAGGACAAATAGCTGTTTAGTTGAGAGGTGAAACAGTGAAATTTTGGGAATGGAGTTTCTTGAGGAGATTATCTGCCTACAAATGTTATTATAAAAAGTATTATACGCTCATTCATAGATGGAAAAAGTTAAATTTCAATAAGACAAAAAATACTCATTGACAAGCAATCTCGATAGATTGGTTATTTGGGCCTGTGGCGTCAGTTTTTTATTCTTAAGACTGCAATTCTGCCAGTGTCAACTTGATTTCGTAACATTTTGGAAATGATTTTGGTATATTGCTTGGTTTTAAAGCAAACATAAATGCTTCGCTGGTTTTAAAGCACTTCTCTTAAATGGCCCCAAGTGAAGGCTTAGGCTGCATCCCTGGCCTAGCCACCAGTGTGTATATGTACATAAAAAATATATAAAAGGTAAAAAAATTACCAAATGCCAATGAAGAACATGTGCAAGCCCCCCTCTAAGTTTTCTTTATTCTACTTTGTGTTAAAAATGATTTGGTAAGCAAATATTATAACAAGATATTTTCAAACAGTTATCAGTTGGTATTAGTTGCTTGCCCTTGAACCAAGTTGGTTTGGTTCTGGATATTATCTGGAATTGATATTAGCTTGCTAATTATTTGTTATTAGATATTTTTATTGTATTATATGAGTTTATGGCTTTATGTGGAAGTTTATACTCATTAATTTTGCTATATCTAGGAACGGTGATATTTTTGTCTTATATATTTAGATTTTTTTTCATGCTAATAATAATGATGATGATTTTACTAAATCAGATGGGATGTTCCTTATCGAGGTTGACCGGGTACTCAAGCCTGGAGGTTACTTTGTGCTAACCTCCCCAACAGTTCAGCCGCATAGAAATTCATTGAGCTCAAAAAAGGGTAGCATAATAAAACCAATTGAAGAATTCACCGAAAAACTCTGTTGGAGTCTTTTGGCTCAACAAGATGAGACTTTCATCTGGCAGAAAACTGCGGATGCTTATTGCTATATATCTGGGTGAGGCTAGTAATCATGATACACACACTTCCATGAATAATATTTCATATTTCCTTTAATAGGATCTGACCCTCTTTTTTTATATTATTTTGGGTGTAATCATGTTCGTTACCCTTATATTTTGCTGTACAACTTGGATTTTTTTCTTTTTCTTATTTCTTTGTGGTTTGTTTTTGTTTTTGTTTTCATTTTTTTTTTTCATTCTTAATTCTAGCAAGCAGAGTGCTGTACCTCTTTGTAAAGAAGGCCAGGATGCTCAATCATATTATCAACCACTAGTGTCTTGTATAAGTGGGACCAACTACAAACGCTGGATTCCCATTCAGAACAGGTCTTTTGGTTCGGTTGTGAGTGCAGCTGAGCTTGAAATTCATGGAAAGTATTGATCTAATTAAAACCTTCACCCTTTTTTGTCATCTTATAATCTTTGGGTGACTGTTGATGCATAGTTGTTAAACTTTGTCTTCCATCTCCATGTGTAACAGACCTGGGAGTCTTGAATAATCTTCCCCATCAGTTCTCTCACCAAATTCATTTTATTGATTCATGTTTATCTTTGCAGGAGTTCAGCCTAATGATTTCTTCGAAGACTTACAGAATTGGAAGTCAGTGCTGAGAAACTATTGGTCTCTGCTTACGCCATTAATTTTCTCTGACCATCCAAAGAGGCCAGGAGATGAAGACCCATTACCTCCACATAACATGTTACGCAATGTGATGGACATGAATGCTCATTATGGGGGTTTAAATGGTGCATTTCTTGAAGAAAAAAAATCAGTTTGGATGATGAATGTTGTGCCCATTGGGGCACGTAATACGCTTCCTCTCATACTTCATCAAGGTTTTGCCGGTGTTTTGCATGATTGGTAAGATAGACTGATGTTTATCACCAACTTTTGGAAATTTTACTTTTCGGTCACATGCATTGAATTTGATAATCAAATCTTTTTTCCTGCTTTAAATTGAATGTTCTTACAAATTGGGCACTGCTATGAACACAAATTTATTTCTCTGACTTCAATGTTCTTACTAATTGGGCACAGGTGTGAACCCTTCCCTACATATCCTCGAACATATGACATGCTTCATGCGAATGGGCTTCTTTCACACCTTATTTCCGAAGGATGCAGTGTAATGAGCCTGTTCTTGGAGATGGATCGTATTCTACGTCCGGAGGTAATTCTACTTACATTCTGGTTGCTAATATATATATATATTTTTAATGTATTTTGGTGTCCTCTGTTTGGAAACTGCCATTTACTGTTTCTTAAAATTGATATTATTCCCACAAAGAAAAAGAAGGCTGTACATCTATCATGTTTACAGAGGCGGGCATTTCGTGTCTCGCTTTATGCTCTTTGATCTTGCACTTTTCATATGATTTAAACAGTCAATTTTGATATGTAAAATACTTGTTTGTTAGCAGGGATGGGTTGTCGTTAGTGATATACTGGAGTCTATAGAGCATGCACGTTCACTTGCCACACAGATCCGATGGGAAGCAAGGGTAATTGACCTTCAAAATGGCAGTGACCAACGGCTACTTGTTTGCCAAAAGCCATTTTTGAGAAAATGATTGATTCAATTGTGGGTGGTCTCATCCTTCCTTAGACCGTCCAGTTTTTCAACCTCTGGTAATTTCTCTAAACCTGCCAGCAAAATTAGCCAAATTATAACTTCAAATATTAGTGATGAGTACTCTCTCTCATATACATATATACGGAAAATGAGATTTTATTTTATGTGTAGTGACTCCAATAAGGTCACCCTTTCTCTAGCTAAAACAGCCAGTGGAGTGAGTGATGATCTCAAGTGTCCTTCATATAAAGGGGAAACAAAAACAAAAAAAAAAGCAATGGCACCAAAGCTATTGTAGCCAGTTGTAAATTGTTGGGGTCATTTAAAATGGAAGTGTTAGTGCTTCACTATCAATTTTTTCATCGCTTATCAAAAACAAAGTGATGATTACCTGGTTAGACATTGTCAGCTTTGTTTTTTATTTAGCAGAAGATGTTGTCTATCAGAAAACTATTTCGGAAAAAACTTTTCCCAAGAGCTGAAAATGACCTGCAGATTATTTTTCTGAGTCATTCTCCAGATAAACTTTCCAATCTCTATGATAAAAAATACACATTTTTATATGTGCACAAACATTAATGCTTATATGCATGCTTAACATATGTATATATATGTACATATCTATATATTTTTGTACACATGAATGTATATATACTAGTTTGTAGACACATATAAATTGTCTATATTTTCTTGTATACAAGCTTATATACTAACATATGTGATGTAGGACGAGTAGGGATTACTTTCCTACAAGTAGTGAGCCTAGTTTAAGTATATTGGCTGCAGCAACAATAGACTTATAGGGCTGGATTTTGTGGGATTTTATGGCTGCAAAAGTATTTAAAAAATAGGAGTTAAAAGGGTTTGTAAACTGGTAGGGTTTTGGAAATGAAAACACGAGTGCTTAGGGATTGTTGGGTGGCCGTTCTGAGCATTGTGAACCACGTGAACAGTAATCTTGCTAGATAGAAGAAGAGGAGAGAGAGAGAGAGAGAGGTGTTTCACCCTCACAAGGGATAGGCCAATCGTCCAAACACAATCTCAAATTTTCATAATATTAACTCTTCTATTGAATCATTGAGATTACAAATATATTTATAAGCTAAAGACTCTCCTAATTTTGTAAGGACTATTTCTCAAATTTAGAAACTAAAAATATTTAGCAACTATTAATATTCTAGACCAACTATGACTTCTAATTTTATTTCAATCATAATAGGAAATTTTAATGACTTCTAATTCTACTTCAATATCAAAACAGGAAGCTTGGACTTTTGATCACCAAAATTATTTTAAACATAATAAAACCCATATATAATATAATAACCCATTTAATAACTTGACCCAAAATAAGGTGACCCTTACAACCCATGTCCAACAATTATTGGAATTACCATTATACTTTTGTGGTTGCAAAAGTATTTAAAAAATAGGAGTTTAAGAGTTTTTAAAAGGGTAAGGTTTTGGGAATGAAAACATAAGTGTTTAGGGACTGTTAGGTGGCTTTTCTGAGAGAGAGAGAGAGAGAGAGAGAGAGAGAGAGAGAGGTGCTTCACCCTTACAAGGGATAGGCCAATCTCACAAACACAATCTAAAATTTTCATAATATTAATTCTTCTACTGAATCATTGAGATTACACATATATTTATAGACTAAAGACTCTCCTAATTCTATAAGGACTATTTCTCAAATTTAGAAACTAAAAATATTTAGCAACTACTAATATTCTAGACCAACTATGACTTCTAATTCTATTTCAATTATAATAGGAAATTTTAATGATTTCTAATTCTACTTCAATATCAAAATAGGAAATTTAGACTTTTGACCACTAAGATTATTTTAGACATAATAAAACCTATATTTAATAACCCATATAATAACTTGACCCAAAATAAAATTCATGGGTGACCCTTACAACTCATGTCTAACAATTATTGGAATTACCATTATATCCTTAATTACGAAAACCTACTATAATGACATGAAGACTCAAAATTATTTTAAAATTTTAATTCTTGATGCCCTAAATCTGCTTCATGTGAAATTTCAAATTTTTCCTTTTTCTTCTTTCCATGATCTTCATCAATATGCATTTGTAGCACAAGCACAAAAAATAGGTTTTTAGTGCATATATAAATCTTTTTTCATGTAGAACACTTCATATGGAAAATATTTTCTAGTGAGAAACATTTCACTTTGAAACGAGTGGAATGCTAAATAAAATTTCTTTTGGATGACTTGAAGAGGGTCACCATCCATTGTGAATGCAAAGTTATTACGGTTGTTTAGTCCTTAGCTAGATTACTTAGTTAAGAAATAACTGCTTGTTTTGTTTTTTCAAGTCATTGGCTGATAAGGTATCGATAAGCATACAAGATTTACAATGATCTGTAACAGGACCACGGGGAAATCTGTGCTTAATACTTGATTTGGAGTCTTGGCAGACTTGAAGATGCCGAGATTGAAAGGAAGGGCGTGGAAGCTGTAGATTTGAAGGTTGACGTACCCGCAGTTTTTTTTTTTTTTTTAATATTTTTTATAGGAGGTTGTAGCAATTCATTTGTCCCATTTTTTTCCTTTGTTTGTTTGTTTGTTTGTTGGTGTTTTTTTTTTTTTTAAAAATCAGTTCCTACATCTCTTCACTAATTTTATAATTGATTGTGTTTTTGTAATGGACACTCTACCATTGAAGAGAGGGGTGCTGGCCACGAATTGTAAGATTTTTGACTTTATAATATAAATTCTTTCTCGTCCTATTTTTTTTTTTTTTGTTTTGTTTTTTTTTAATGGTTAAACTCATTGTAAATTTTCAATTGGATC